TATATATATATTAAAAGGGATGGAATTTTAACGATTACGATTATCTTGGATACCTTCTTCTTAGGGTGGATATTTTGAATACGACTAGAGATCCCGTGCATCAAATTCGTTATAGCGCTTGGAAACATCTCACTTCATGGGTATCTATTCGGTAGGTTTGTAGGTTTGGTAGCCTGATCACTGCTCGAAAGCGTACGATATATAAAGCTAGGAATATTTTACTTGAATACCTGCAACATACACTTGCTTTCCTGAGCACTCCCAGCACGAGCTACAGCCAGTGAAATAGACAGGCATGTGAAACGCTAGCATTGAAAGACTGTTCTGAACTCGACTTACTTCCCGCGCGTTTAATAACTTTCATCTTTTACATATTATTACATTTCAATGAACCTATTGTTACCAGGGATTTAGCCACTTGAGTCGCGCATCCTTTCGCAGCAGGTCCGTGTCCAATCGTTTGGGCTGTTGATCGAATTCCGCGCGTGCCTCGCTGCGCTGTTCCACTGCTCCGATTTGCTTGGTCACCAGGCACTCGCCGTTCTCTTTGAGTATCGTGTGCTTGATGTCCTGTTTAGTTGGTTCGCCGTAGGGGAATGTCACTGGGGAGACTTTGATCAAGTGCTTTATCTTCCATAGCCGGGCATTATTTTCGGGAATATTTTTAACCACGGTGAAATCGCTTTGCTTGCCGTCCAAACCCAAGTCTTTGAGTAGGCGCTTCTCCCAGTAGGGATTGCCCTTGACGGGCTTGATGCGCTGCACGCGAAATAGCTTGGCCGGTTCGATTGGTGGATCTTGATGGTCGGGCGTTCTATACAAAGTTTGGCATTTCACTTTAAAAATACTTTTTATCGGGCCGGGTTTCGCAGCTCACCTGGGATAGTAAATAATATTCTCGTATTTTTTGCCATCTTTGTACAGGAACTTTTTGTTGTGCTTGCCATAGCTGCGCTCAAGCCTCAGGCTGAGCTGCACCGGCTGTAATAGGCGCAATGTGTTCATTTTATTTAACAATTATGTTAATTATCAAATAAATTAACGAAACCAGCAGCTGCTTGGTTATGAAAGCCTGCCAGGGCTGCCGCGCAATATCGCCATTCACACATACACGCAATTTCAATTGAAGTTATCGATAGTTAAATGCCAAACAGTGCTGTAAGAATTCAGGCGATAGTTAAGTATATCACTAGACGTTTCGATAATAAAGCTATTCAAGCACCGATTGATATATTGACTATCTGTAACGGTTATTCTTTCCTTCAAAATTGCACAGTTGAGCATTTTGTTGAGCTATTCTTTCTTGTGTTAGGTAAACAATATTATAGGAAAAATTCAGCTTCAGCTTTCTGCTCTTCTCGCTAGCCTTCAAATGAAGTGTAAATGAATATGAAATGTTAATGAAATTAAATATTTTACATAACAAAAAAAAATTTTTTTTTTTTTATATATAT